TCACTTCAAATCCTCAGCCACTTCCCTCTTATTCATCAGAACAAGATCCAAAATGTTCCTCTGGTTGCATGCTTAAATTTCTAAAACAGAAAGTGGTCTTTTACTTTGATTAAAACCTTGTTGGACATTCCAGATTTCTTTTCTAAAAGCTATCAGGGAAGTTGAAATCCCCCATTTGGAAAATCTCATAACTTTTAGATGTTTTCAGTACCTGCTTGAAGAATGCCACGTGTGACATAGTATCACTAGTGTTCTTTTCTCTCTTTTATCATCATGTAGATACAGTGAGTAGATCGACTGCTTTCTTTTTCTCAGACTTCAGAAAAAACATATATTCCTAAAACAGAAAGTGCTACCACCTCCTTTTTTCTTCAATCTGATCCTACTGGAACAAGGTACATCCCTCCAATATAGGGAGTTAGCTCACTGAGTTTTTCTAATGCTCATTACAGATATAATAATTTCATTAAACGATATAATTCCTAAGGTGAGTTCATGAGTCCTTCATACAGCCAACTTTATTATACTTCATTAATAATAAAGCTCCCCACCTTTTATCTGCATGATAAGAAGAACATATAGCATACCACTATTTAGTGCAGGATCTTAGGCTTTCATTGTCCCATGGTTAAACATTTTTTCTGCTGGCCCAGATTGAAAAGGAAAAGGGGCAAGTAATATTTATATTTTAATCAGTGGGAAGTGAAAATGAATTATAATAACTGTCAATATTCATGAAAACATCCATATATATTTGGATAAACATATGTAAATACTGAATGAAGCTACCTATCAACATGTGTGTCACTTGTTATTTAAAAATAGAACTTCTGTGCTGCGTTTCTATTATTAGTTACATGCATGAGAGACAAGGATTTTTTTTTTGGTGATGTCTTTTGCTGGATCAGCCATATATTTAGGCGATATGTTAGACAAGCTTTTGGGCACAAGTTGTCTTTAAACAATTAGTCCAATAAAGAATATCACCAAATTCCTGAACTATCACAGCTAGAACACCACTCCAACCCAAAAGTCATCATTGGTAAAGCTATGTACATCACATCTATTTTAATAATATAGCAAATGGGAAAACCGTTTATTTGTTAAAATTTGAAAGAATCCAAATAATATAAAACAGGGGTGGGCAAAAGGGTGGATCCAGCCAGTGGCTCCGTTTCCCAGCAGCTCCTGGCCAGTCTCCAAAGAGACCGTCCAGGTGGGAATCAAGCAAGCAAGGTGCACGGCTGGACAGGAAACTGGGCCAGGATCTTGGGCTGCTGACAGCATGTGGCTGCAGCAGAGCTGTGATCCGTGCCCTGCACACCCCTGCCTGTGGAACCCAAGCTTGTGCTCCTGGCCTTCCTTAGATCCAGGGGTCTTTCTGGACCTGCCCACCTGTCTTGCTCCTGGGCATGACCCCATCCCACCTGCCTGGCTATGTGCCCTGCTCGCATGGGTCCCATCCCTGATGGTGGGTATGAGGCAGATAGGATAGGGTGCCTGGGCAGCAAGGCTGGGTCCAGTGACAGCATCCAGAATGAGCTGCTACTGCAGGGACTCCTGGGAAATGTAGTCTGTCACAGGCCCAATCCAGCGCATGGGCTGGATTTTGCCCACCCTGGTATAAAAATCATCCAGTTGAGAAATCCACATTCATCTCGAATATGAAATGTCTCTAAGTGTCAGTTTGAATTTTAAGCATGTGTTTCTGTTCAAATTTTGCCAGCAGGGAAGCACAAGCTCTTCAAGTTTGCTGTAAATCACCAAAATGATTTAGAATAAAACACTTTAACATTCTCTATTTTAAGTACGTAACAAGCTATGTCAAACCTCTCTCTCCTCAAACTTATAAGTCATAATATCTGTGAAAGGGATTAAACCAAGTTAGAGAGATACTCAAAGGGGAGGCAAGAACTGCTTGGGCAATGATGATGACAATACTAGACTATGAAACACAACAAAACAAGGCATCAGAAGAAAGTAGCTCTAAAAGAGATGGTGGCAAGCAAAAAATCTATGTAGAATGCTTGGGGTAGGAAGAGGAACAAGCAGCAACAAGAGTTCTTGGAATCTATTGTGGTGCGAGAGCAGTTGTTGAAATGGGAGGACAAAGCACCAGCTGGTACCCGGGAAGAGAAGAGAGACACTGGTGAGAGCAGATTGCTGGAATGAGGAAGGGATACAAATAAACTTTTGAGTTTTTTAAGGAGTGCAAGCAAAGTGTACGTTGATCTGAATCAGGATTCACATAAAGTATTTTATATATATAGCATGATAGTTCTACCTCCGGGTTCTATGACTGTACCAAGTACTTGAATCTGCTGTTATGGTTTATAGGCTAAATACAGACAGTCAAAAAGCCTGAGGCTGAATCTTTGCAGGTTAGTCTAAGCTTCATAGACTGAACTGATAAGCAAGTAAACAGACATTCACCTTTGATTCTGGAAGTGCTGCCACATGCTGCAGTGGCCCAGGCCAGAAGCTGGGGGGTGCGGGGGGCACTAGAGCACACCTCTGTGCTTGGCTGGAGTAGACAGCTTGGGCCAAGGCTAGCCTGCCTACCTTGCAAGAGAAGTTAACTTGAATCTGGAGGGGATCTGGGATAGAAGTTCAATAAATTGATTTAACCTAAAGTAGTTAAGTCTGATACAACATCCATCCAGGTTTATCTTAAACTGGTTATGGCCATTTCTATTTATACACACTGAACTTCTGTTGTGTTACAGATTTGAACCGGTTTCCAGTCACTTCTACCAGTTTACGTACAATGTCTGTCCCCAGCCATAATATTCATGGACCCCTGCAATGGAATTACAGCCCTGAATGTCATAGTTGCTTCTTTCTTATTCTATATTTATTTATCAGTACCCTATCCTAACACTGCAATGCTCCATCAACAGTTGAGAGCAAGAAATGTGCACATACACAATAAGGCAGAAAAGAATCAATTAAGGAAGAAGCAATTGAGATAAAAGATTTCAACAACTTTTCACTCACTAGGTGCATCTGCACATGCAATTAGCATGTAAACAATAAGCTCTGGTACAGGACATGCTGGAATTTATTTCTCCTGGGAGCAGTGTTTACACGTGCACCTGGGACTGCAGCATGTTGAGCTGGGGTGAAGTAGCCCTAGGCTGGCAGGGGGGCCAGAAGGTCAGTCTGGCAGCACAGGGCTGCTCTGCCCAAGCTCAATGCGCTATGGAGGGGCTGGCTGGGGCATGAAGGTGCTACACTGTAGGGCTAGCCGGCATGCAGCCCCCACACTGTAGCAACCTTGTACCCCAGCCAGCCCTGGTCACCATCTACACATGTGTTTTGGTTCATGTAACTAATCCACTGTAGGATAGTACTTGTCCTGAACAGTAGGGGTGTGCAAAGCAGGCCCTATTCAATTTGGATTCGGCTTGAATCAGGGACAGTGATTTGATTAGTTGATTCGGATCACTGTCCCTGATTTGATTTGGTCGAATCCAAGTCTGAAGATTCAATGCTGATTCAGAGAATCAGCGATTCGGACATAGACACAACTTTAAAAGTTTTTTCTACATACCTGTAGGTAGCAGGCGCAGCTCATGATTGCTGCAATGCTGGGGTGCATGGAACATCCCACAGGAGTGTGGCAGGGCCCTCCATGTGCTCAGCAGCGAACCTGGAAGTTGACCGGAAGTATTTCCGGTCCGCTTCCACATCTGCTGAGAAGCAGACTGGGGGCCCCCCCTGCATCTCCCCAGCTTGGCGATCAGCCACAGGGGGACCCTGGGTGCCCCCTGCCCTGAACCCAGGAGGCACCAGTTGCCAAGCCAGGGAGGCATGGGGGGAGGGCCCTCAATGCACTCTCCAGTGGACCGGAAGTGCTTCTGATTCACTTCTGGGTCTGTTGCCGAGCATGCTGGGGAGCCCCCCATGCTTCTGTGGGATACTCCATGTGCCCCAGCATCGCAGCACTCATGAGCCCCTGCTACCTACAGGTATGTAGAAAAAACATTTAAAGCTGTCTCTATGTCCGAATCTCTGAATCTTTCCGAATCATTCTGAATTGATTTGGAGGGTTCCGATTCAATTTGGAGAGATTAAAGGGTCCTCTGATTCTATTCAGATTCAGAGATCTGGCCACCGAATCGGGCCAAATCTCTGCTGAATCAAATCGGGGACCGAAGCATTGCACAGCCCTACTGAACAGTACTATCCTATAGCAGAGTTAATTAATTTACTGTGTCCTAATACAGGCACATATGTAGATGGTGATGCTTTACTGTGGAGCTAGTAAGTCAGCTCTGCAGTAAAATGCACCCACTGTGAAGTAAATTCTATTTTTAGCACATATGAGGAACACTATACAAGCTATGTATTTCTAACTGAATACACAGCTAATATGACATATCAAAGTGGAGATACTCTAGGTTCATCATGTTCAGGGTCCACATATCAGAGAGATATTTTGATTTCCATTTAGGAGAGAAAGGTTAGCAGCTTCACTAACATTGTTCCACCTCTTCCTGGCCCCTTGGAACAGCAGGAACAAGATGGGGAAGACCAGAAGGAAGCAGGGAGACAAATCTGAAAAGCCTGTATGGAATTTACATACAGTCATTAGCCTGATTTTTATCATCTTCCACAATTTTTATTATTTTTATTTTTACTTATTTTATGCTTCATTTTATAGTAAAATCCATTATTTGAATTTGTCCTTTGTCTTTAAATTCTGGATGCAATTTCAGGCTAACTCTCAAAACTCTCAGTAGGCAAATCTGCTTTACCAAGAGTCAGTTCTGACTTGAAATTGATATTAAAAATAAAAAATGTTTTACTTCCTCACAAAACCCAGATTTTACAAGTTCTCAGGCATTCCTAGAAAATGGTATTTAACCTATATAACAAAAACTGGATTCCAATGAAAAGCTGAATTCTCTAGAATAAACTGTGAAGACAAGTGAAATCTTTAGAGCTCCATGGACTTGGTGCGTGAAATGGTATATTATAGAGATTGTTATAATTACCTCTTGAAGCTGGAGAAATTTTCCTTTCATTGCTGTGAGAGCATTGCCTCTCTCAACCAACTGTTTGTTCAGCTTGATCATTTCCACATTGTCCCGAATGTTTAACCTTCAAAATTGTAAAAGGAAAAAACCCTCATGGTGAGATTTAAGGTATAAGAAGAGCTCTCTTTATTAGTTTTGCTTTGAAAAGTTTAAAAACCTTTGCAAATCAGTTTTTCATGGCTTCTTTATTCCACAAGCAACATGAGGGAAGCTTTAGTGTGAAACAGCCAAATTAAAATCCCTTTTTTAAAATCTGCATTATAGATTTTAAGTAATTCTACTAGAAAATTATGCATGCATCAATCAGTACATGGACATGTTCATTTATACTATCAAACTAGACTGCCGAGAAAGGAGCAAGCCTATGCTTAAAGAGAAGGCATAATTTGTATTAAAATCTCTCCACTCTTTTTCAAAGTATGTGACATCATAGGATTACTACTTATTAGAATTTCCTCTTGGAGCTTTAACTTTTCAAATATTTCCAAGAAAACTGACTTAACATTTTATACTGATAATGCCTTAAGACTGGCATTCAAATGAGGTACAGATGTATTTTATACTCTATAAAAATCACTTAACAGCCACATAGAAATTCTATATGGCTAGAACTCTTTTATACATTTCCTCTGCTGAGATGAAGCTGAGAATGCACTGTTTAATAGAAAAATCTTGTTAAAAAGATAATCAGACACCTAGACGAATAGTTGTCTCATTTTTAAAAAATCTCAAACAATTAAAGATGACCTCCATCATTACTTTTTGCATCTACTTCAAGCAAAAGTAAGAGACCCCTGAATTGTGTTTAGTACAAAATACAAGTACAAAATAAGGTTTGATAAATTCAGAACATGATTTTAGTGCTTGAAATGTATATATTTTTTTCTAATACATATCCATCACAGACATACTGGAAAAATTGTCACAATGCCATGCTGGAATGAGAAAATGGACTACAAAGCTTACACATCTGTAAACCAGCTGAGAACTTGAAATACTTATTTTATTCTTTAGTGTATCAAAGACCACTGTGTTTTGGCATTCGCAAGTTAATTGTCTTTACATAGAAGATAAACAAGCATATAGACCTAGGATCTTCCCCAAGAAACAGCCCTAATGCAATGTTAAAATAATCATGTGTCTAAAATATGTTATCTGTAGAAATTAAAGTTGTGGTGACTATACACAACATCATTGTCTCATGCTAGTTATTTAAAAGCTGACATAGTGACACATTTTTAATAATCCTTTTCCACACATCAAACAAACAGCTCTGATACCTTCAAAGGCCTTTTACAGGAGGGTTTTTTTCATTTAAAGTAAAAGAAAGAACAGATTATAGTGAATTTATGATGTGCAGATGTAAATCCAATGAATACTAACAATCAAAATTAACCATTTTTTCCCAGCACTAAATTGTATAGTATTTTATTTGTATAGGTTTTACTATTAGCATCTCAAATGTTCAAAGTCAAGTGTGGGAAAGTTATTTATTAGGACTGAGTTTAGACTGGACAATTTAAACAACATTTAACTTTCTAGCTATTGAAAGTAAATGCTATTTATTTTTTAAAATGTTTATTGATTATTTATATATTGTTTAAAAATAAACAATGTATGAGTCTGAATATTTCCTTAACATTCACAAAAGCTAATGCCTTAAGTTGTTTTCTTAGGCATGCAACATCTTCCTAATACTACTATTAAAAATGCTATATCCTGCTTGATATGCATAGGCACAGACCATAAAGCCTGCAGGTAGCACTGGAAATATTTGGCAGAAGCTTCTTCACCTGCACAAAGCACACACTCATTACTTGTCCTTCTTTGTGGAAAGAAATAGGGACATAGGTCCAATATGAATCATAATAGGAATATATATTAATGCCATATTTTTCTTTTATAGCCAAAATTTGGCCCAAAATAATTTGTCAAAAAATATGACATGTAAAGATAAAATTGTATTAAGAAAGTTCATTTAGTACTACGGCCCTAACTCTCTCTCACTTCCATATAACTACACCAGTGAAACTAGCAACATTATTTCTGATTTACATTTATGTGACTGAGAATTGCAAAAAGTGGAACCACTAAATTCGTAGAACCTCAGTGCAAGGGAGAATCATCTGGTCTGGCAGTGAAACAACTGCAGTGGCTCCTTTAGAGGCCCCCCACACTTGGAGTCATCCTGAAATAGTGGGCAGACTGGTGACACTCAAGACTGGTGGGCCCTAGCTCTACACATATCAAGGGAAGAAGAACTTATATAGCCTACCCTTTCAGTCTCCTCTCATGCCTGAATTAGGATGGGGGTCTGGAATCCCCCTAAAAATATTAAGGAATGAGATCAGTTTTAATGACTAATACAGCAAGAAAACAATATTCTCTCCCAGCTTATTATACCCTACATGAAGAAAGTGTAGCAGGGTCCTAGCAATAGGATGGGGACCAGCTGTGGAGGGATGGAGACTGACGACAGACTCCATCAGATGGGAATGATTAAGGAAGGAATCATGACCTATGGTGTATGAGCTTTACAGGTAATTCCCAGATGATCTGGCTAATAAAGCTGTGGCTTAATTAAACCATATTCCTTGCATCTTGCCTTTCTTTCCATGTGACCTGGACAATGCTGCAAGACTGAGAGCAGTAAATGGATATTTATTGAAACAATACCTATTTGCCATAGCAAGTAGGCCAGGAGATCTCAAACGTTTCTACATAATGAACCCACAGTAAAACAGGAGAAAAGGAAAATATTACATATTAGTTATGAATTAGTTATTAGCCATATTAGTTATATCATGTTGAGTTTCTCTCATCTGGGAATATAACTGTTACAAAGCAAAAATTGCAGTAAAAAGTACTTCATGGACCATATAAAGCCATATTCAACAGAGCTGAACCTGCAGTTTGTCTGAACTAAAAATTTTGATCAACTGCAATAAGATTAGGGTGTTTTCTTCCACGAAACTATCTTGAAATATACTTTTGGAAAATACAAGTGAAGTTATTTGAAGGACTAGCTGCTTGCAAATGTAACTATTCAGAATTAAAGCTTTTTAGCTTGAGCAGTGTGCACCACAGAAATCATCTGACCATAAGATTAGTATGTTTTTGCTCATCTTTAAATTAAAAACAACAAAAGTAAATTAAATTATATTTTGTGTTTAAGAAAACTGATTCCAGCCTAACAATCTATGTGCCAAGTTTCTCCCTCTTATAACTCAAAACAGTCAAAGTTATACGCCCCTAAAAAACTCTAATGGAAAAGTTAAGAAACAAAAGTGACTGGAGCAATGATACTGTGCCACAATAATTATATAAAGGCACAATATAACCTTGTTGAATTATATGCTATGATTGTAGGCTATGATCCTTCAAGCTCTACATAAAAACTGCAGCGCAGAATAGGGAAGGAGAAGGGGAAGCAAGAAGGTAACTAAATTACTTGTGTGCTTCCTGCATTCTAGGGAGCTTTGGAAGCTGAGGTATGTCAAGTACAAGTTAGAGCAGCCCACAGAAAAGCCACTATAGTCTGTACCTCTCTCATTTTTTGCAAACATTACTGCAATCATAAATACTCCTAACTATAAAGTACATAAAGAATTTTCTCCTAAAGGCTCACAGCATCTTAATTTTCTGAGCAAAGGCTGAGATGATATTGTGGGACAAGTTCAAGAATTGTGAGACACTTATCAAATTCTTAAGGCATCTTGCAATCAACATATTTCTAATAGCAGATGAGCTGTCTTTTGGAGAATGATATGCCCAGATGGCAGCCAAGTGTAGTCTAACTGAAGACAAGGAGGAGACCTCAGATATAATAAAAATTTCAGAACACTTGATATGAAAGCAGAATGAAGAAATAGATAATTAGTTTTCCAAACTTCCTATATTAGTATGAGCAGCTTTTAATAGCTATAGCCTTTTATATTGCAATGATATTTTTTACATCTTTTCAGAGGAGATAAGGTTAGACTCAGTTAAGTCCTACAATTCAAAATGCCATGTAATGTGATTCTATATCAAAATTCAAAATTAAATTATATTTCTGTATTAGCACAGTTGCAGAGATCCCAGGAGAAAAAACTCCTGTGTGGGAAGGTCTCTGCCAAATCTGAAAAGAACTAAGAAATGGTATCCTTGTAGTTCTACTTTTGGTTAATTGTACATAAAAAAATATGTACTGAAGCATATGCACAGAGATTGCATTGCATAAACCTTTTAAGTGAGGGAGCACTTTAGAAAGGACGGAATATATAAAACTCTCTCATACTGTTGGATCAAATAAGTTAGAATTCCTTTAGCTATTTTCCCATGTCTTTCCCCAGGCATAGCTAAGACTAACTATTAACACATTTCGTAACTGTTCTGATAGCATTTATGATTTATTATCCACCTAAAATTATATTTTCTGTTTTTAATATCCTTACGCACATGGTTCCAGTGAGTTCTTTTACATTTAGTTTGCCTTTTCTAAAAGGAGGCCTTGCACTACATGTATTAATTTTTGTTTAAATTTTTAAGTGTAATTCGGTCCAAGCTTTCAGACATCCAAGCTATACAAGACTTGTGTTAATAGAAAAGTGGGTTATTGTTCACTATGGACAACAAGGATAACAACAACAATGTGTTTTCAATAAAAGGGGTATTTTAGTTCAAACTTCAAAATAATTAAGGGAAATCTGATGACCAAAAGTTTGTCAGGAAGGCAACAAACTAAAATAGCCAAACACCAAATGCAAACTTTCAGTAATATTTTCTGTAAAGACAACGTATCATAAATGGCTTGCATTGCTAATATGTAGTCTAAGTCTTCTAGCACTTTGAATGAAGAATAAGATACCTAGGATATATGCTTCTAGAACTTCAAAGCTGAATTTTACATGCCAACACCAGTAATCTAGATTTAACATTACTACTGGTATCTATACAATTCATTTTATTAACACAACTAAAAATTTACAGTATTAAGACAGATGGCATGCATTTAGAACATGTCTCTAAAGTACTAAATTAATTTGGGGCACATTTTCTAGAGAGTTACTGAAATGTATGTCAGCTGACATAAAATATAATTTACTTCATTATTTTCTGGCTACTGTACTTCAAGAAGTTGCAGTATCTAGAAAAGCAGCTTTCAGATGTAGAAAATGAAACACACAGGACTTGATGTTATGTGCCACATTTTCAAAAAATTAAATCAATCCTTATACTTTAAAATACATCTAGAATTGATGATGATGACTCTTTCTAAACAACTGATTTCCATTAATAGCATTTAAAGCTATCTGCATATTATGTCATGAAAAAATTGTACACAGATCAATTACAACTTTCTAATAAGGTCATGAAAGTAACAACTTGCAACAGCGAACTGGGTAAAACAGACAGAAGTTGAGAAAAGGAGAGCAAGTAATACTGTAATATATTAATACACTAAGACTGATCACTTGGATTTGTCCCATGCAACTCTTAGAGAAGAAAAAATCTGCACAACTGCATAACCTTTGGGAAAATGTCTAGCATATTAAGATTTAGTTTCTTTACAACATTCATATTTTCTTCCACATGGAGTTATTGTATGCTATAACTACTTTAGCCCCATACTGGGAGAGAGGCTTTTTTAGATACTGATTCAACTAAAATTCTCAGAACAGTAACAGAAATCCCATAGTAAATGGAATTGTGAAAATTATATTTCAACAGAAAAATGTAGGTAACTCCTTAACCAAACATAACAAAAACCATTACGGCTGCTCCAGAAAACTTCTGGATTTAAGAAAAAACGCAAAATATGGTACAATAGTTTACTGAAGGGATGATGCAGACATTCTGGAGAACAATGTAAGAAGACTGCATGGAGGAAGAAGATTAGTGGAAGGGAGATAAGATATTAGGAAATGGAGGAAAAAGAGAAATAAATACAGAAGTGGAATAGGCTGAAAACAAAGAATATTCCAGGCAAAGTTAGTAGTGAAAGTAGCTCACCAAGAAGACAGAGTTAAGCTGAAAAAAACAGAAGAAAAGAGGCAAAAGGGAAAGAAAGAATAGGGACAAGAGATAAAGAAACATAAGAACTATTACATTAGGGAAAG